AAAAAAAAAAAAAAGGCCAGATGAGGTGAGGTTCGTGGAGGGGATTAAGGTCTCATTCTGCATCTCCCACTTCTTTCTAGGCACCGTTTACAGCTTGTATTGCCTTGGCTGGGCCTCCTTCCCCCACAAGAAGTGAGACCAAGACGTGTAGAGGACCTGGCAGACTTGGACAAGCACTAATAAATACTGGCCTCAGTGTGTGTGTGCATGTATGTGCACCCCGCTCCCCCAAGCCCCTCCTCCCACCAGCTGGAACCTCTGCCCTGTGGACTTCCCGTTGCCCAGTCCTTGGCCCCTGATGCTAGACCAGGGACACTCCCGGCATATCGCTGCCCCTCAACCCTCTGCTGAGAACCCCAAACAGCACCCCTAGGTTGGGACAGGGTCTCTGTATCAGGGGCCTCTCCCTACAGGGGCCCAAGTAGGAAGGAATATTATGAGTTTGGCCTATGACACAAGAGGCAGAGGCAATGAAGACGGGAGATTGACTCGGGACTGACGCTACAAGTGGGTACGGCCTTGGGGGACAAGCAGGGGTGGCATGAGAACTTCCAGCAGCGTGGGCTCTGGAAGCAGAAGCAGCGATCACCTGGGCTTCTGGGTTCCAGTCTAAGCCTCCACAGGATCTGTGGGAATCTCAGTAAGAACAGAGCTACAGCTCAACTGGAACCCAAGGAGAAACAAGATGCAGATAAGAAAACAACTAGAAGACACACAGATCTAGCCCTGGGGAAAGACCCATCACCCCACCGCACTCCCTACGGCCCAGAGCCCAAGCCATCCTTCACCTTTTGGAAGAGAAGGCAGATCCCAGAGAGCAGCAACTGGGGTACATTTATTTCCTCCTAGGCCTGGCAGGCTGGGGCAGAATACAGACAAAGGCACTGGGGCATGTGGGCCTGGAATGGCCTGGAGTTTGGCTGCCTGGGTGGTAACTCTAAGTGGGTGTGCCAGGGTGTGCAGAGACTCAGTCGTGCTCCCAGGAGAGAGGGCCCTCGGGGCACGGGAGCAACATAAATGTTGGGTTTGGCACAGATACAGGAGAGAGAGATGGAGTAGGTATAAGATGGGTGTGATGGGGGTGGGGTGACCCCTGGGCAGAGCATGTTGGAGTGTCTTCAAGCCGGGGTAACTCAGGACTTGGCGTGTTGGGGCATGCTGTCCTGGATGTTGACTCTGAAGCAGGGTGCCAAGGGCTGGGAAAACGAAGGGCCTGGGCGTCAGCAGGACCCACAAGGGTGTGACTGCGGACAGGATCAGCCCTGGGAGAGATCGAGGCACCAAAGTGACTCCGATAGCGAGGCGGAGGGGGCAGGTCCAGGGTTCCCATTCAGGAATACATCGTCAGCTGCAGCCACTAAGGAGTGGAAGGCACAGAGAGTGAGAAGCAGGGAACCCCAAAGAGCAGGCCCTCTCTGCCCTCACCCAGGGGTTGCTGGGAAAACAGGAGTGCAAAGGGCTGAGGGGTAGGGTTCCCCAGGCACTCACACCCAAGACAGAGCTGCTTACCTCCTGGATGTTCACCTGGATTTGTCCAGTGCCATCTTTGTCAAGAGATTTGAAGGCACCTGGAGAAGGAGAAGGGAAGGTTTGAGAGGAGGGAGGGGAAAAGACTGGCTTTTATTTTTATTTGTATTTTTCTTTGAGTTGGAGCCTCACTCTGTCACCCAGACTGGAGTGCAGTGGCCGCTCCCGGCCACCGCAGCCTCGACCTGCTGGGCTCCG